CAAGAAACACGAATGATTAGCTTCTCAGAGACATCAGCGCGATCTGTGGGAACACTGAACAGATAGTACTGGGAAAAGTCGGCCAGGGTCTCATGTTTGAATGCTCGTGTCTTCCGATTTTCACACCGACCATCACGGTTGTGAAAACATATGTCATACAAGTGTTCAATACCTCTGGCCAAGGGAGCCCCAACGACACCTGCCCGCTCATGCTCTGATTTCCCAACATAAGTAGCCGATCGACCAATGATGCAATAAATACTGCACATATTGATGCTCACAGCTGAATAACCAACGATGAATTGCATAGACAAGAAGGTGCAAAGAACTCGGGCCTTTTCATGTGCAGAACCAGTGTCCCGCAAAACATCTTGTATGGTGGGTGGAAAGCAACTTATTTTCTTGCAAGCGTGTTTGTCCCTACGCTTCCCGGCGTTATATTGGAATGAAATCAAAGCAAGTCCACGCGACGCTCAATACAATGAAGAAGCCAAAAATGAATATGCGGCCCTGGCGCTCCGAAACGTAGTATGTGATGCCTCTCCCCCATGAATTGTCGCCCCAAAACCAAAATTGTGCCTGTATCATCCAAGAAGCTCTTCAAATTGCACTGACTAAGTCCACACATGCATGAAACAGTCGTCACCAACAAGAGCAGAATGGAAGAAATCGCGTGCAAAGAGAAAAACCGAGCCATCAGGTGCAACGCATTCGAAGCATCTGTCCAAATGAATACGTTGGATCATCACGCACATAGCAGGATTCAAGGCATGCATTCAAAGCATCACAAAGCGCCGAAAAAGCACGTTGATCTGACACCGCAGCATCGCCCAAAACTTCTTGTGGCCTGTGCAAGACTGACAAATTTCTTCTCATCTGCAAAATCAAATTTTGATGTGAAAAGCGGAAATTTGTGGAGAATATGGAAGCAAATCAGAATGAAGGCCAATATGAGGTTGAATATGTGGAGTATGTAGGCTGTGACGCCGGATCCTGGGGCCTGAGCGCACGAGTGCACCTGTCGACATGCGCGAATCAGCAGCACCAAAACGCTACCTCATCGCTCAAGCGCCGCTAAGCTGAGTTAAAGACGACTCAGTTCTTTGAACTGAAAACAAAAACAAAGTGCGTCCGCAGCTTTTTGCAAGTTTGATTCCTCTTGGGTTTTTTGCACGAGTGGAGGCGCTGTGTGTGCCGAGAGGGACAGTCACCTTGATTGAATCAAATAGGGTGAGAAGATACGAGCCAGGAAGCCAAAAGGGCCCAAACACACAAAACAAAACAACAACCACCACAAAACTCCAAAACAGCCAAGCAAACAAACCGGGCTCGTGTCTCATCAGGACTGTCAGAGCCGAAGCGACTGTCTTGAAACAGATGTGAAACGGAGCATTAAATTCGCTTCTGTCCGCGCTCAGGTCATGAGGATCAGGAGGTCGCAA